GAAACAAGATAAAGTGACTGAGACAAATGAGCTGGAGGTATAACTACACACCATACTGCAAGGAAGGCAGGCTTTAGAAATGCTTGAGAAGGAATTCAGAAAAATGATTATAAAATGTATCAAAATACTTTACAATGGAGTTGAGAAAAATAAGGAAGAAGTCAGGAAAGTGCTACAGGAACAAACAAATAAGATAGATACAGCACTGGAAACAATTCAAAACCTACAGAAAGAGATCCAAATGGTTAATTATAGAATATCAGAAATGGACAATACACTGAAAGCGCAAAGGAGTAGAATTGGAGAGATGGAAGCCAGAACTAGTGAGATGGAAAATAAATCTCTCAATACCACTAAGATAGAAGTACAAACAGAAAAAAGGATAAAAAATCTGAAGAAGATATAAGATTCATGTAGGTTAACATGAAGAGGAATAACTTAAGACTTATCAGCAGGCCAGAACAGGTAGACTCACACAAGACCACAAAAGAGATAGTTGAAGAACTTCTGGAAGAAAATTTCCCTAACATCCTGAAAAGTGAAAAGATAAGCATCCAAGAAGCTCAACGAACCCCAGGAAGGATAGACCCTAAAAGAAAAACACCAAGACATATAATAATCAAGCTCTCCAAAATCAAAGATAAGGACAGAATCCTGAAGGTACTAGAGAAAAGAGAAGTGTAACATACAAAGGCAAGCAAATCAGATTAAGCTCGGATTTCTCAACAGAATCCGTGCAGGCAAGAAGGCAATACGGAGACATATAAAAAAAACCCTGAAAGAAAAAATAACTGCCAATCAAGAATCCTCTACCCAGCAAAGCTGTGAATTAAATATGACAGTGTAATCAAAGCATTCTAGGATAAACAGGAGCTAAGGGATTTTGCCAAAGCCAACCCTGCAAGGAAAAACATCTAAAAGGGAGTTTTGTGGACAGAGAACCAACAAGAACAGACAACAACCAGAGACTGACATACGTGGCAGCATCACCCAGAAGTCAATCGACAAATGGAAGAGTCAAGAACATAATAAAACTATAAGAACAAATTCAGAGGCTCTGGGAGGTCAGTCTTTGATCAAAACAATTACAATGTGAAAGAAGGTAAACACAGAAGAACAGAGATCTAGATGATGGGAAGATCAGGTAAACTGCAGGATAAAATATACTGTCTTAAATGGAGGGAAATTTTAAAGGAATATAAAGTAACCACAATGGTGGGGTTGGGGCTGGGGGTTTTGGGGGAGGTGGAGGGAGGCAACGGTAGAGCACAGGATAAAGGCAGACACATCATAGTTCAGGTATTGGGGAGGGCAATACAAGAAGGGCAAGGTGGTGGAAGAACAAGGTAGATAGGTGAACACTGAGACAGGTTTGCATGGGCTAAGCGGGACAGAGGTAAATAGTGATGCATGCTTAACCTTGGAACAATAGGGGTCTGTGATACAGTGATCTAGACATCATTTGAAGAGGGGAAATAATACTAAGATGCTTGACTGTCTTATGAATATTGGGTTCTCTTGCCTACTATTGTAAAATAGACACTTGAGTGGGATAGAAAGGAATGTTGGGAAACATGATTATAGAAAACTTATAAGCCTGTCTTCAGCCTATAACTGATTGGAATACTTAAAAGGGGTTCTAGAACTTGCCCAGTGAAACAGGCTTCTTGAGGAGTCTTTGCAGAGTGTAGGACATTAGGTGGAATCCTGAGTCCCATTCAGAACCTTCTGAGGTGGGACATTACTACTAGAAAGGACAAGCAGACCAGCCTGGAACAGCTAGAGTGACAGAAGATACATCTTCAAAGAAAGATCATCAGGAAAAACCTAAAACAAAAATGGCAGTATGGCTGGCTACTGTAAGAAGAATAAGCAAGGTGTTCACCAGGAAGCCATCAAGGCAAACAATCAAGTTTCTTCAGGACAAACCCCGACCGCCACCCCCAAGACTGAAACTAAAAGGGAACACATGAGCAGACATGTAAGCTTGCTGGCGAGCACATTGGTCTACTGCTGAGTGGAAGAGGGAGAAAGGCAGCAGTGAAGAAATGGGCTGAGTTCAACCACGGTCCATTGACTCCCATTGACATGGAGATGAGAGAGAGAAGAAGAAGTGCTGCTGGTCCAATGTATGGTGAGACCTGAGGACACCTGAGCCCATGGACAAGGACATAACCACAGAGGGCTAGAGCTAAGAATGAAGCATCCGGCTGATATGAAATGAGAGGAGACACACAAGGACACCCAAATTTGCAGATAGTACCCATTATACAGGGTCGCTATGAGTTGGAATCGACTCCACGGCACATAACAACAACAACCCATTTGACCTAGCCTTGATAGCTAATCAGAACTCGACTAGAGGAAGATTAAAAAAACAAAAACCAATTTTTGATAAAGTAAACAAGGGTAAATTGCTACAATTTGATGAATTTGACCTATATTCATGGAGGTAGTAACTCTAAATACCAAGAGAGAGGGAAGGAGTCTTCACATCAAGTACACAGGGTATAGAGGGACAGGCAACTTAGACATTGGCTACCTAAAATGAAAGGAGCTCTGGTAGCGTAGTGGTTACGAATCGGGCTGCGAACCTTAAGGTCAGCGGTTCGAAACTACCAGCTGCTCCGCGGGAGAAAGATGAGGCTTTCTACTCCCGTAAGGATTTACACCCTCGGAAACCCTGTACAGGGTCGCTATGGGTCGGACCCGACTCGATGGCACTTAACAACAACAACAACCTAAAATGAGGGGGTGATAAAGGCATGAAGTGACTGGCTTGCAAGGTTTCAAGAGGGAGTTTAATTTAAGAGTGTGTGGGGGAACAAAGAGTCCCCACTGAATAGTTGTCATCTTGTCTAGATAGGTCTGGTTAAAAGAGATGGGGATAAGATTCTTATGATTCAATAGTGAATAATTGTTTTCATAACTAATTGTGACTGTCACAATTGTAAAGGTAGAAGTTCTGTAACAAAAATGGGGAAGTAGTTAATCTGACAGTACAGAAACAAAGGATTCTAGGACCATCAAGGGAAAAGAGCACAATCAGAATGCGGGACCTTATCCAGAGAAGCAGTGACACCAGAGATGGAGGCAGAGATGGGGACATGGAGAGGAGGAGTGGCTGAGGAGCCTCGATTCATGGGAAAAGATGGACAAAGAGATGGTGGCCATGAGGCAGATTTGCAGAATGTGCCCTTTGGTGGTATAAATTATTATATATGCCTGAGTGTTGTTGGTTGTTTTGTTTTTTATTTTTTCTTAAAGAGCTAAAGTGAATAGAGAGATATACTGTTAACTGATGGTACATGGAGGGGAATGTAATCATTGCAATGAAATATGTTGTATGATTTGTTGGGTTTTTTTTTAAAAAAAAAGAACATTTCAAGATGTTGTCTGTGATAGGATAATATCCATAAGCCTACAAGGAAGATCAGTTAATACTAAAGGGATATATTCAAGGTCATATTTTACTCTGGAGGACTTGTTTTAATCTTTTTCAGTTCAGCTTGAACTAACTTAAGAGCAAATGATGGTCTGTTCCACAGCCTGTCCTTGACCTGTCTATGAGTAATGATATTGAGCTCTCCCACCATCTTTTCCCACAAATGTAGTCAATTGAATTCCTGTGTATTCCATCTGGTGGAATCCATATATTTAGTCACTTTTTTATGTTGTTTAAGAGGTATTTGCAGTGAATAAGTTACTGGTCTTACAAAAAAAACAAAAAAAAAACCCTATTCAGTGTCACTATGAATCAGAAATGACACCATGGCACACCACCACCATGTGCATGATACTTTATATCCACAAAGAGCAGCATAAGAGCTTAAACTGACATAGGAGGGATTTCCATGTCACTTTCTAACAGTGAGGGTTGATAAACATCTGAACATATCACCAACGAAATTCGCAGTTTATTTTCCAGAGATCTTTTAAAATAGGGTTTAAAGAGGCTAGCCGATAAAGCAAAACCTGCTACCTCTTCCTCAGTTCTTCATTTCTCTCTACTCTCTGCCTCTACTTCCTCCTCCTTTTCCTCTCTCTCTCTCTCCCTCTTCTTATTCCTCTCCCTCTCCTTCTGTCTGTGTGAATGCCTCTCCATTCCAAAACTCCTTCCCATTCCTAGTTCCCAACTAGCACGACCTCCATCCCAACTCCCACTTCCTTTACATCCTGACTCCTGTAGAAAACCATCCTGGAGTTGATGAGAGGAGCACAGCAGAACCTTTAGGAATGTGATCCTAAGGTCAGGCTACCCTTCTAGTCTCTTCTTGTTATCCACATCAAGTCTACTATGTTGTTGTTGTTAAGTGCCATCGAGTCGGGTCCGACCCATAGCGACCCTGTACAGGGTTTCCGAGGGTGTAAATCTTTACGGGAGTAGAAAGCCTCATCTTTCTCCCGCGGAGCGGCTGGTAGTTTCGAACCGCTGACCTTAAGGTTCGCAGCCCGATTCGTAACCACTACGCTACCAGAGCTCCCTCAAGTCTACTATACTGGACAGTAAACAGAAATTACATTCTTCAACAATAGCTCAATTAAACACTCACACACAGATAAAGTGACCCATACACTAGGCTGCTCAGTAGTTCTCATTCTTTAAACTCAGTTGAAATGTAACTTCCTTTTTGAAGTCTTCCCTAGCCTCTTCAGACTTTGTCCTTTTTGCAATACAACACTTCTACTATATTGCAACTGTATCTGTTTCCTTACTAGACTGTTAGTCTCTTGAGGGCTATTTATTTCTAAATCCTAAAATCTAGCTCAGTAAATGCTTACTGTGTGAGAGTAGGAAGGGTGTAAGTGTGTGTGTGTGTGTGTGTGTGTGTGAGAGAGAGAGAGAGAGAGAGAGAGAGAGAGAGAGAGAGAGAGAGAAGTATGATAACAGCAGGAATTCTCACAGGGCAGACCTTGTGTCATGGGGAGTCTGTAGAACCCCTAACAGGATACTCCTGGCAGTAAACAAATACAAATATTCTAAAAATCTTGCTTTTCAGGAAAGAAGGCAGGGCCTCCTGGGCCCAACGGCCCCCCAGGACCCCCAGGACCTCCAGGACCCCAGGGACCCCCTGGGATTCCAGGGATTCCTGGAATTCCAGGAACAACTGTCATGGGACCACCTGGTCCTCCCGGTCCTCCTGGTCCTCAAGGACCCCCTGGTCTCCAGGGACCTTCTGGTGAGTTCCTCTGTCTCTCTACTCCCCTAGGCACCTTACAAGCAGGTGTGTATGATCCTGAAAGCAGTATCAAATGGTAGTGACTGGGTTGGTGGTCAGATTTCCTAGCCTAGTATAATTTCTGTATCAAAGAATGAGAAATTGAACAACCTGTCAAGAAATTGTACCAACCTGTCAAGAATAGGCCACCTGTCATTGTCCCATCTCAAACCTTCCATCATAATTCCTCCCTGACTGTAGACTTCCCTATTGTGGACCTGTACATGCCAGTAAACTCAGATAAGCCAGATACAGAGGCTCTGAGGGCTCACTGAAGTTCTGTGGAGGGAGGATTTAGTTTGCTCTGATCCCAAGCATCTAGCTCCTCATGCTGATGTCTACATGAAAATAGGGTGGGCTAGGGAGGGGGGAATATTGGAGATTGGACAAATTGACAAGCCCTAGAACAGTTTCATCCCATGAACTCTGAATTACCCTTCTCAAAGAAGTAGACAAGGAGTCATTGGGTTGGAAGGAGTTGGAAACTTATGAGTCACTCGGGCTGTGCATAAAGCAAACCCAGGCACCAAACCTGTCTTGTCTAAGAACCAAGTGCTTCTTACTCTAAATCCTTATCCCCATCACATTGCCCATTCAAATATCATTTCATCCCTTCGCATCTTTCCTCTTGAGCCCAGAAGGGCATCCAACAAGTTTGAAAGCAGAGCCAAACCTGCCTAATTGGAGTTAACAGAAGTCGAACTGCCTGGGCTTGTGTCAGTTGTTATTTCTTTCCACTGCTACACTCCTGTATCTTAGGGCTTTAAATAAATGGACTATTTACAACTAATTTCTCTAGGTCCAAGAATTTTGCATCAGAACTCCTTCAACTCTTCAATTCTAGTCAGTGCCTCCATGGCCATTAGCACAAGAGATGGAGTTAGGGATTTTTTTCATTCAGTCATTCTCATTTCACAAATATTCAGTACTGTCTGTGTACATTGGCAAAAGGCCAAATTTCCCCACTGGGTGCTAAGTCCACTAAAGATGCAGGTCAGTGGCAGGAAAGAAAAGAAAAGGGTATCTTCTTCCATCCCAGGGCAGTGTGTTGCTCTGTCTCTCCTCAAGTACTCTCTTAACTGGAGAGTAAGCTCAGACAGGGCTGCCTGCAGCAAGCAAGGCTCACTGCCACTGAGTTCCTAGGTGGAGAGAAAGGGAAGTAGAAAAAGCATGCCCTCTGATTGCCCTGTTCTATTTTGCAGGTGCTGCTGATAAAGCTGGAACTCGAGAAAACCAGGTTGGCTGGGGATTGCTTTCTTCCTGGGGAAGAAGGAAGGCTGTAGGCTAGAGCCACCTTTGAGCTTGCTCCCTATTTTTGTAAGAACACCCTGGAAGTTCTGAGGTTTTCCACTGATGACTAGGACTAGAAGAGATTTGCCCCAGGGCCTGCCTTCAGCTCAAGAACTGAGTCTTGCCAGGACCATTTTTCTTCACTTCTTACGAAACAGAGGGTCATGATATCCAAGAGCTGAAAGGAGCTGCCAGGCAGCCTATTCACCTAGGCCTCCGACTCCCAAACCACCGGAGACACCTTTTCCACACTCAGACCTCTTGGAATTAGGCACTTAGAAGCTTAAGAGCATGTCCTTGAAAAACAGCCAAGCAACTCCCAGCCAAACCCAGCCTGGGCTTCTATCTTAATAGCCTGAAGGGCTCCTCCATAGTCTTTGAGCTTCCTAAGTTGTCTCTATTGGCAGGTTCTACTGCTTTGCCTTGTCTCGTTTCAGCCTTCCTAGCTACAGCTGTTTGGCCACAGTGCGAAATCTACACAGCTGCACAGTGCCTAATAGTTTGCTGGGCAATTTTATATCCCATCACCTCATTTGATCTACAAATATCCCTTAAGGGAAGCCAGATAGAAATTATTTTAATTCCCATCTTACAGTTGGGCTCTGGTAGCATAGTGGTTATGAATCGGGCTGCGAACCTTAAGGCCAGCAGTTCGAAACTACCAGCCGCTCCGCGGGAGAAAGATGAGGCGTTCTGCTCCCGTAAAGATTTACAGCCTCGGAAACCCTGTACAGGGTCGCTATGGGTCGGATCCGACTTGACGGCACTTAACAACAACAACAACAACAACATTTCTACATTTGACTAGGTGTCCTGGTGTGACGCTGTAGGATAAGCAGTGGACTACCAGCCACAAAGTCTGCAGTTCAAACGGCCAGGGGCTCCTCAGAAACCCTATTGTTCTTAAGTGCTGTCGGTTGTGTGGGCTGTGACCCATAGTGACCCGGTATGGGGTTTCTGAGGAGCAGCTACCGATTCAACCTCACATAACAACAACACATAATTAAGAAGTGGCAGAGCTGCAAAATCATATTATCCTCTGGTAGAAATGTGTTCACTAGCATCCCAAGACAGGGAAGAGGGATCAGAATTTGAATACAAAAGGAGACTGGAAACCTGAAAACCTGTAACTAAGCAAGCAGCCATTATTCATTCACAGTGACTACTCTCTCCTTCTCATCCTCCCAGCCAGCTGTGGTACATCTACAGGGCCAAGGGTCAGCAATTCAAGTCAAGAATGGTAAGAGTCAAAATAGCTCTCTAAGAAGAACTACTCCCCTCCCTCACCCCCAGCCTCCAAATAATCACCCAGCCTCATTCCTCCCAAACCTGGGGGTACCCTTTGCATAAGGGGCCATTCATATTCTAGCCTGCTCTCTGCTGGCTGTCCTGAGTAATTGCTTGTGCCAAGACCAACACCCAAATTGAATTTAGAAGCTCTGATGGAGTTGAAAGAAACTTGAGACATCATCTAGCCCAGGGAATTGGGACGAGGGCAGGGGGTGGGGTGAGGTTACATCAGAGTCACCATGGGATATGCATAGTTTGATTAAAAACTTACATAATCCAAATTAAAGAAGGTAAAGCTATGTGAAATGAATTTTTTCTTGTCTGATGGGTCTGCACAGTCAATGAGAGGTGGGGTGCTTCTCTCTGGGATTGGGACCATGTTAGAATGAACCTTCAGGGGTTATGAGATGCTAGTGTCTACCAAAAAATAAATGTGCTTAATAAGGTGCAAAAACATTGATTTAATGTAATCCCTTCATTTAAAAGATGGGGAAACAGTCCCAGAGAGATTGAATAATACTATAATAAACCATACTACCTTATGAGCATTTGTATGGCACTTCAGAGTTTTCAACCTGCTTTATTTGTCTTGTATTTCCTTTGATCCTCACCACAACCCTAGGATGTAGGTATTACTTCCTTTTTATGGAGACAGAAACTAAAGCTCAGAGAGGTTAACTTGTCCAAGATTTCATAGCTATTTAAATGCAAGCACTGGGATTGAAAAGTACTGCTGTCTGGTTCTTCCCACTACACTATGCTACTCTAGTAATGTGTATATACACTCCACTGAATGGTTAGGTTTTTTTATTCACCAACATTAATTAAAGAACAGAGCTTTGAAATAATGTCAGGTTCCTAGGCTGGGCAAAACCTAAAATCTACGAACCTCCAGGAGCCTTGGGAATCTGCTAAGCAACATGCCAGATGCTTACAGAGTTTGGAACTGAAAGAAGGGGATGTGAGTGTGGAAACAGTAAGCGAAGGTTAAGAAACCTCCTACTTGGGGCTAGCTTCTAAGAGCCCAGTCAGTGCTGAACTGGCTGTTCTGAGCTTCCCTAATGATTGTGCTTAGCTACTCCCCTAACACGTGGGTGCCTGGCTAATAGCTTCAGAAATGAAAATAGAAAGAGAATGGCATCAGAACCCAAGCAGTCCTGTTGGGACAGGTGCCATGCATGGATCCCAGGGCACTGGGTGAGCCATGATCACCATCTGTCCAGGGAGGATTGAGACAGGCAGGAAATATATTTGTTTGGGTATCTGAATGGGTGGCCTCAGCATTTTATTCTGTGCCATCAGCTGCTGATTTTGCCACTATTACCTAATAACTCCTGATCTGGCGCTGTAGGATTAGCATTGGACTGTAAATCACAAGGTTGGCAGTTTAAACCCACCAGCTACTCCTTGGAAACTCTACACAGAGTTGCTATAAGAATGGACTTGACGGCACTTAACAACAACAACTTCATAAGATTGTTTCCAACTTCTTTGGGTCGATCCCTCGTAGTAGCCTGAACTGACCTTTTTAGTTCCACCAGGAACAGAAGTGAGGGAGTCTGGTGGGAAGATGTCACACAAAGCAGTCCTTAGAAGTGGGGGATTCAGGATACTCCTATCTATCACCTCTAGAAATGGTTACCTTTTCCAGAAGACCTGTTTCCTCACACCTCAGAGAGATAGGCCTCCTGAGATTGGCCAAGCATGGACATTTAAAACATAATTTCTTGAGTAAAAAAACTGGATGATTTAGAGGGGTAAAGGTCCCATGAGCTTGGACTCTCTCCTCTTATGGTCGAAAGAATATCTCTCTTGCTGAAGGATAGAAAGGGAAGTCTCCCCAACCCCACTTACCTCCAGAATCCATGCATGTTGGCTCCCACCATCCACCCAAGATAGTATGAGCCCCCCCCCATCCTTAACTGAGGTGGGGATCAGAGACAATAGCTTTGTCAAGGGTGTCTCAGCTGCCAGACCTCCTCCCCTATACTCCTGGATGATGCTAATGTGAAGTGTATTGCCCAGTCTTATAAAGATCCTCTCACCTATGGTGCCTTTATTGGTATGCACTCATTCTGGCTGCCACAGGATCCAAATCATCCCTCATCCCTTCAGATAGATTTTATTGTGTTGAATGACTTCACTAAGGGCCCAGGAAAGTTTTCCAGAAAGGAGAGGGTACAGAGAAGCCATAAAAAGGAATATTTTAAGGGGAGAGGATGAAACCCATGAACTTCTGAGATGGGAAAGATTGAGGAGCAACAGCTGGGAGGGTAAAATTGAATAATAAAACCTATCCTGGCACTCAGTGTCTGAATATTGCCAGTGGAAGGCCCCAGGACAACAAAGAAGACAGGACAGCATGCCCACTATCCTCTTACCACCAACCCCAAAATAATTCCAGCAAGAAGATATTGGTTAAAGATGGTTCCAGATGGAGGGGTCAGGAAAGGACAACTGCAGGCCTGGCAGCTGCTTTAGGAAACAAAACACTTATCTTGATCCACAATGTTGTTCTTAAAGCTGACCGTTTGGGCTGCCCTGGTTGTAGTGGGATGGAATGGGAGTTGTGTACTGTTTACTATTTCTTAATTTCTATTGCCCAGATCATTCTGACATGTACTGAGTGATTGCCCTTCTCTCATACTGAGATCTTTCAGGTGGAGTGCTCAATGACTGGTCTCGCATCACTATGAACCCCAAGGTGTTTAAGCTACATCCCCGCAGCGGGGAGCTGGAGGTACTGGTGGACGGCACCTACTTCATCTATAGTCAGGTAGAAGTGAGTACGGTCTTAGGCCTAACTCTTCTTATATCCTGAATGCAGATCCGGTGCAGACCACATAGGGGCACTGTGGAGCCAGCCAAAACCAGCCAATGGTTAACTTCCTGCTTTGGTGAAAGCAGCTGGATGGGCAGGACAGTACTGGGAGGGGGTTAAAAGGAGGAAAAAGAGAGGGGGTCAAATATCATTGAAAAACTGTGAAAAGAATCCCCTCCCATACATTGCTATCTATTCTTTCCTGCAGGACCCCAGGCCTTGTTTCCCCTCAGATTTGTTTGGTTCTACTGCCAAACTTGAACTCAGTTGCTTTTTTTGAAAGTCAACTCCTAGTTTGCTGAGAACCCCCTCCCTGCAACACTGATCGCTGAGGCATTATAACTTCATAACGTATAGTGCTCCTGCTCCTGAGGACTTTCTCTCCACCTCAAAAAGATTTCTGTCTTTCCTTCCTCTTTCTCCTCCCACCCCATCCCACCTTTTTTTTTTTTTTTTTTTTTTCCAGTTTTTCTGTTTCTCTACCATTCTTATGTACTTTCTGTTGTCACTCTCCCAGTCCTTTTCTCCCTCTGATTTTGTCCTTTTCCTGCCCCGGGCCCACTCCCAAAGTCTGCCAGTGCTCATTCATTTCTACCCTCATTTGTTCAGCTCCACTGGGGTGGCTTCTCAGAGCTGCAGAAAAAATGAACCTTAAGGTTAGCGCTTCTGTGGGGCAGGTAACAAGCAGGTGATGGATAGAAAGATTACAAAGCCAGCCGATGGATTTCACAGGACAGTAGTCAAAGAAGGTGGGCTAATAAACATATGCATCCTGTCATAGTTTGGGTTCTGACTCAAGATATTATATGGCACCTGAATACACTGCTCACTTCTAAAACCTCGTGAAGGGAGTGGCCTTTCATAAGGTATTTAAGGTGAGGAATGAAGGTCCCAAGTCCCAGGGAGCAAGTGTGCATATTCCCAATGTCATAAGGGCTAAGCTCTATTTGGGGATAGGGGTGAGGTGATCAAAACTTGAGGTGGGGTGTGATGGATAGAAGCAGTGAGGGATAGAAAATTAATTTTCTAGATCTAGAAGAGAACTAGGAGTGGCCTCAGGCTTTGGACACCATGCAGGCTGGGAAAATCCCAATGATGACAGGCCATTGAGCATAAGTTTAGTGTTGAAATTGGGGGCATGGGCTTGACTCTTTTAAGTTCTTTATCTCATGTAGTGGATAGCTCTCCATCTCCCTGTATCTGTGTCCTCGGTCATCATACAAGAAGGCCAAGGAGCATTGTAATAATTGTGAGAGCAGTTCATCTGTATGTATGTGTGTGGTAGGGGGTGGAGGGGATTAGGGGAAGATGAGTGAGCTTTTTCTTCAAGAACTGCAGCAATGGCAGTTTGTTACTGGAACTCATTGTATCAGTGACTTCTATGTTTATAAATTCCTTGAGGTTGGTTTGTAACTGAAAGTGAGTGTTCATCTGTTTATGTAGCACTGATTGAACCCCTAATATGAACAGCACTGTGTCTCATGCCAAGCCTGGGAAAAGTAATGGGGGGGAGAGGAGAGTAAAGGGAAAAATAAGGCATGATTCTTGCCTTAACAGAGCTTATAATAAGTGTATTGTAAGAACAGTTTGATCAACCACTGGGCTCCATGGAGTGGGGAAGGGGCAGTGCATTTGCCTGTCATTCTGTCCTTCCCACTGGCCAAGTAGCATACCTTCAGGTGACATCACCCCTTTCACAAGGTATACTGTGATGAGAAGGTCTTGTCTGTTCTCATCACAGGAGGGCTCCCACCCTCTCTTTCCTCTCTCCCCCAACCCCATCTTGTTGCCTCTTACCCAGGTATACTACATCAACTTCACTGACTTTGCCAGCTATGAAGTGGTGGTGGACGAGAAGCCCTTCCTTCAGTGCACACGCAGCATCGAGACAGGAAAGACCAACTACAACACTTGCTATACCGCTGGTGTCTGCCTCCTCAAAGCCCGGCAGAAGATCGCAGTGAAGATGGTGCATGCTGACATCTCGATCAATATGAGCAAGCATACCACCTTCTTTGGGGCCATCAGGCTGGGCGAGGCCCCTGCCTCCTAGATTCCCTCTGTTATGCCCCTGCCCATGCCCCGGACCCAGGTTTGGGAGCCGGGACTCCCAGAGCCTCTGAGTGCTGCTGTGGAGTGAGGTATATTGGTGTTGCAGCCACAGAGAGAAATGCCCCAGTGCTATTTATTCCCCAATGACTTCAGGATGATAAGGCCTGCTTGATTTTACAGAATGACCTTGAGTTAACATGACAGTTGATGGAGCCCCAGGGTTTACATGAAGCAGAATCTTCTTCTTTGGCTCCTTTTTGACTGGCTTATAACATGACTCTTCAACCCCAAGGTCCCTGTTGTCAGATTCATCATCCACTGCATTCAAATGAGGGTCCAGTGCAGCAGGCAAGAGAAAGCAAAGGTTCACTCCAGACTCTGGGATGAACATATGATCTCAGAAGGGCTGCTGCTTCAGAGGCACACCAATATCAAACAAAAGCTGGAGCATCCCTGGCTTCTATCTTGGGGGGAATGGGAGGTCAGGAGTAAGGGGAGTGTTGCAGCCAAAGGAGAGGGACAGGGAGGGGAAATGCAGGTGTTTGTGGCCAAAACCAGAGAGAAAACTGCCAGCGTTGCATCCTCTGCAGTGGATGCATTCTTGCTGCTCTGAGTTGCAGCCTCCAAGAGGGTCCAGTGAGTCCTACCACTCAGGCTGAGAACCATATTATGAGCAACTTTGAGCTTTGGATACAGAAGGATGCTTGTTCTTCCTTTGAACAACTGCAGGGAATGGCCATTCTGATGCAGCAGAACCCAAATCCATACTTGGGGTCAAATACCTTTTACTTTGTTTACAGCTGTGCTCCATGCTCAGAAATTTCCCTAGGATCCCTTCCCAATTGCCCCCTTCCCAGTCTTACTAGAATTCCTGTCATCTTTCTCCACAGAGCCTACCTCTGTCTGAGACAGGTGCCTAACTTTGGACCTGTGTAAATGTGAGTCAGGGATACTCTTTAGCTTGAGTAGGCACAGAGAGAGATTTCCATTTATAAGCAAAGCAGATATTCTTCTATTAGAGTTGTATCTGGGGGGAAAGGGTCATACTGGATGACTTCCAGAAGTTCCTTCAAGTTCAAGTATTTGCAACTCTTAATAGGCAATTCCCATAACAAACTATTAAAACCCAATCTGTAGAGTGTCCTGGACATCAGCAAGGCAGAGCTTTTTTTCTATCTGGCCTTAGAAAGGGCAAGCAGTGGGGAATAGGACAAAGGTGGCTGGGTGGTTGGTTTGTTGGATTTTTCCAAGCCTGCTGTAACCTAAGAGGTCATTAACTCAGTCCTTATCTTAAAGGTCAGCAGCTGATGCCCTACTGACTCTGGCTTCAGAAAGCCACCACCAAGCATAGTTACCATATACTCTAGCACTGCTCCCCTGGAATCCAGGCTCAGGAGAAGCCCATTTCTATGCACTGGGCAGGGCTCTGCCCCCATAGTTCAAGTCCAAAGGCTTCCCTCCCTAACCCCAAGCTTCCCACCAGCTCATGAGGTAGGCCATATTTCTAACTGAGTCCTTACAGGTTAGTCCTCTGTCTACACCCAACTTGGCTTCTGGGTGCTAGGTCCAGACCAAAGCTAGAAGGGCCAGCCTTGTATAGTCTGCTGCTTTTGCCCCGGAAACATGTTTCCTTTTGAAGAGATGGGGGATACGTTCCTTCAGACAGCTAAAATCCAACAACAACAGGTACTTATTTCTCAACTGTGCCTTCCCTTTCTGAGCAACCACACTGCTTGGTCCTTCAAGGGTCAGGGCTAGAGATGTTGGGACATGCCTTCATTGTCTGGTTGCTAATGATAGACTTGAAACTCAAGATGAGGCAACCTTTCTTTAGGCATATGTTGTTGTTGTTAAGTGTCATCAAGTTGGTATCAACTCATAGCAACCCTACATAGGGTTTCTAATAAGCAATTTGTGAGTTTAAATTGCCAACCTTGTGGTTAGCAGCCCAGTACTTATCCTACAGCACCATACCCTAATTCATATCAAGTGCTTTGGACAATCCTCAGTTGTAGCAAGAACTGATGAGAATTTTGCTTTAAAGTTGGAAAGTACTTCCTCTTTATTATTCCTTTGAAGGAGACTGGGCATACAATACTATAAATCTCATTGTTAGATGAAGGTCAGAGAGGTTAAGTGGTTTGACCAAGATCTCCCCAAGTCTGACTCCAAAGCTTGTACTATTCCATTACACCATAAACTTGTGTTGAATTTGGGGATCTAAAGGAATCCAATAAAAGTGGTAATATAAAAACAAAATCCTTGAGAATCTGACGGAGAAACCCAGAGATGCCCATTTTTATTCCTTGGTGATAGTGCCTGTTCTCTCGGCTTCTGAGGGTCTCTGTGGCAAAACAGTTTGATATTTCTTTGGGAAATAGCCATTAGCCTTTGAGATACTGTTCAGAAGGTTCTTCTCTGCATCATGTCCAAGTAGCAGGCTTCTAAACCAGTTGCTGTCAAATTGATTCCAGCTCATGATGACACCATGTGTATCAGAGTAGAACTGTGCTCTATAGGGTCTCAATTACTGATTTTTCTGAAGTAGATCACCAGGCCTTTCTTCTGAGATGTCTCTGGGTGGACTAAAACCACTACACTGTTGGTTAGTAGCCAAGCACATAAACCATTTGCACTACCAGTGAAGACTTCTAGTACTGACAAAACAGTTATCCATCATGCTCTTTCATCCATCTCACAAACCAATAAATCATTGTGTATGGAATCCCTGCTGTGGACAAGGTCCTTCTCCAGTTATCCTACAGTCAGGTTCCAAAAGCTGTCCCACTTCACACAGCTACTAAGTGACTCCTTTATCACTTCTCACATAACATAGAGACCTTTCTATTGCCAGCATCTCTCAGGGATGGAAGAAATACTTGAGAGAACTGGTTCTAAAACCAAAAGTTTGTGAGAAGAAGAAAAAGACTTCCCTAAAGGACATTCTGACACCCATCCTATTCTCCAGATATGGAAGGGATTATAGTAGCGTAGTGGTTACGAATCGGGCTGCGAACCTTAAGGTCAGCGGTTCGAAACTACCAGTCGCTCCGCGGGAGAAAGATGAGGCTTTCTACTCCCGTAAGGATTTACACCCTCGGAAACCCTGTACAGGGTCGCTATGGGTCGGACCCGACTCGATGGCACTTAACAACAACAACAACAACATAGGAGAATTAAGATTTCCACAGAATCATTATTCATTGAGAACCCTCAAAAGGAACTCTAGAGGGAAAGGGGTTGCTGAGGGAAGCAATAGGTAGATGGGGAGCCCTGTTGCAGCAAAGTTATTGGCAAAGTGGTAAAGCAATTTGCTGACAAGAGAATGTGGAAATAGATTTACAGTTTGGAATTATGCTGGCATGAGTTTACCAAAAAACCAAGCTAGCATAGAAAATTAGACAAGGACATTTGTGGGTAAGTGAATGACAGAGGTTTGAAGGAGAATTAGGCAGAGGCCTTTTTGCCAGCTTCTTGGGCTTCAACAGTGAAAGCTGGCATAAATGGCTAATGTAGGGGCTGCTTAACTAAATGGTCCCTAGGAAAATGTAGTAGTGACCTTATTTCCCCTTTCATTTATCCTGAACCAAATTTCTTTTCCTGAGCAAGAAAGAGCTAAGAACCCTGGAGGTGAGCAAATACGGATTCACATGTGGGTATGTGTGTTTTATGTAACTTCTGGTGGTTGTAAATAGATTCAGAGAAGTTCGGCGTTAGAAAGATCCTTAGAATTGAGTACAAACTACATTTTATCTCATGTGGAATTCTACTTTTCTACTCATGTGGAAACAGGCCCAGGGAGGGAAAGTTACCTATATAAGGTGATGAACAAGCTGGAACTCGTAAAGGATAGAGCAGTCCCTGTCCCATACAGGCCCAATTCTCTCTTTTACCCTTTTACCCACAGGCTTGAGGCTGGAGGTACTCAGACATTGCCCCCAACCCCTACAGCCACCCCCAGTGATGCCTCAGGCTCCATCCCTGCCTGGACACTCCCTGAGGCTATGTTAGCATAAAGAAGGAATCTGATTTTTAATTTTAATCCATTTCAGAGCTCTCTACAGGAGAGCTTGAGGTGGGTAATTTCTCTACTACAGAAGCTTCCAGCTGGGATGGAGGATGGGCTTTGTTGTGAGAATGGCCTGGAGCAGGCCCAGTGCTGCTTTGGGGATCAGAATCCAGTGTGAGACACTGTGTATATAAACTATATATAATGTATATAAACTGGGATGTAAGTTTGTGTAAATTAATGGTTTATTCTTTGCAAATAAAGCTTCCCCACCCCCACCTGCCGTTCTTGAAATCAGTTTGAGCACTTACTACATGCTGAGTCCTTCTTTGTAAATGATACCATATATGAGCTAGGGGAATGACCAAGCCGCCCATTTCCATGGAAGGAACAGAAGGAAAATAGTCTGAATTTCCAGTCAGAGTATCTCACATCCTCTCTGTGCCCCAGACCATACACCCCAAACAAACCATCACCATCAATCTTCTGTAACTGACTGCCCAGTAAACTAGAGGTCCTGTCAAAAGGAACATGGTCCTGGGGCAGAGACATACAGTATCGAGCCACCCGCTGCTTGAGACTGGTATAGATAACAGGTATTTCAGGCTTGGGCCCAAAACAGTAGGGATAGATCCAACCTCCTCACTGCAGTGTCATACCCTTTTACAGATGAGGAAATCAATGCTCAAAGAGTTTAAATAGCTCACCCAAAATCATATAATTAGTGTGTCAGTCCAGTCCACTTTCCACTCTACCATGTGACCTCCACCACACTTCTTAGAAAAGCTGTTTAGAGGCTGGAATAAAGAAGAGGTTCACAGAATGATAAGAAGACTAAACAACAGTTGAGAAACACCTAGCCTTAGAGAGTTCTGGTCACCTTTCACAACCCTGTAGTCTTTGCCCCCATTGCATAGATGGAGAACCTGGCACATAAATTGCAACATGCCTGTGATAAATCGGAAATAACCAGATGTGTATTGTTGTGTGCTGGAATTCAATCTGGTCCTCTGGCTGCCTTCTGTAAGAAATGTTGTTAAGTATCATCAAGTCAGTTTCGACTCCCAGCGACCCTGTATATGGTGTCCCAAAGAACAACTGGTGACCTTGAGCTGCTGACCTTGCAGTTCAAACCAACCTTACAGTCCAGCA